GCGTCTGAACTTGCCTTGTTTACTGGCTGGCCAGTGAACTCCCAGCATCCCCCAGTTTCTCTCTACCAATGCTGGAGCATTTGAACTCAAGTTCTCCTGCTCATGCACCAAGTGCTCCTAAACGCTGGTCTACTACCACACCTAGCCATCCTTATATATCCCTGAAATGGAATCCAACATAATATGTTTAAAATATTTTTCATCATAAAAAGACTACAATTCCATTTATTTTTAAAGTTAGGAAACCGTTTATTTGAGGCCATGCTGGAGTGAAAAGGCACCATTTAGTACACAAAGATAACAAGTTACTTTATTTTATTTATAATTTAATCATCTAATTTTTTAATGTATTACAATGTGCCTGTTAACGTTTCCTGGAAGACTCAAGAGTGGTCCTCAAATATAAATGCCCTCTTCCTCAAAAAGAATTGTCTTAGATAAGCCCGTGGGGTAGAAGTGAGGCCAAAAAAGGTAACAGAAATATATGGATTTTTTAATTGTGTGTGTGTGTGTGTGTGTGTGTGTGTGTGTGTGTGTGTGTGTGTGTGCATGTGCTCACAAAGGCCAAAAGAGAGCACTGGATCTCCTGGAGCTACAGCTGCCTGAACTGGGTGCTAGGAACCAAACTCACATCTTCTGTAAGAGCAGTCCACACTCTTAATCACTGAACCATTTCTCTAGGCCCTGCAATCTAAGTTTAGAAGTGATATTTTCTTCTTTTGGGGGAATGACTCAAGTGTAAAACTCAACTGATCAATAAACTAAGAGAGTTACTGAGTCCTGTGTTTATCAGAAATATTTACACAGGGCACGGGAAACAAACTGCACTGAGATGCCTAAAGGGATATACAGGCTGCAGCCTGCAAAGATAGAAATCGGGGTTCAGTCTGTCAATAATGGGAACCTATCACTTCATGAATATTCTGTTCCTATTAACACGTTGCTTTCACCCAAAGAGATCCCTGAAACCAAGAGTGTTTGATGGTGTGTATTATTGGCAATCACTCTTGCATTGGTGATCTTGGAGTAAGGACCCTTCCCAATACTGCTCCATACCATCTGCCTTAGCCAACAGCCTGTCCAACAGAGCGGCTTTTCAGAGCTCAGATCAAAGCCTCCTGTGTGCAAAGTGCCTATTGTTCATTAGTGACATGTGACTTGCACCTGCTCCACTGAGGTGCCCTGCTTTCACTGCATCCCTCTCAGTCTCTGCAAGCTGTGGCAAGATCACAGGGCCAGTCACTTTGGTGACGAAGGAAGCCACACTCTGCCAGTCACAAGCTGGACCAGCTGTGCTGGTCCTGTGTGAACCAGGTGCCTCCTGCCTGCCCAGGAATCCGATGCCAAGCCTTGGCAGAGAATGGACGAGCAGCTGCTCCTCCGCTTCGTTCTTGTCTGTTTCCCTCCTCCACAGCCTGAGAATCCAAATGCAATCCCCCGGCAAGCCCAGCACAGAAGAGAGGAAAGGAACTTTGAAAGGAGATGCAAGGGCTGTGACTGCAGAAAGTTGACTGAGGTCAGTGGAAAGGCAGGAAACACAGTCAATGTGTGAAGTAAGATCACTTTAAACCTAAGCTTTCTGTATTGTGAATGCCACCATTCTCACCATAGGGGAAACTTATCAAAAAGCGAATGGTGTACTGATCACATATTGATGTGATTGTTACTAAAGATCCAGTCACATGGATTTCAAACCCATGCCAACCAAGATCCACATAAAACCATCATGATAACAAACAGCCTCAGCTGAGATAATCAGGCAGCGCCATTTGCTGTGCAAGAGGTTCAGTTCCATAACTTCTCATGATTTAACTTGGTTAACAGCTCTGGGAATAAGAGGAGCATTTGTTCTCATGGGCTTTTCTGGTTATAGCCTCTCTCCATGTGACAGCCAAAAAAACACTGGTAGGCTACAACTAAATTGCATTTAGCTCTTGCACTGTGCATTGTATTGTCCTTTCCTAGAAAGTGTTTAAAGACCACCATGCCACTCAGCCAACTCTTTCATGTTCTCATTAGATCAGAATGCTGCTGCTCATGTAGGCAGACCAAGAGTGAATGACCAATTAGCCAAGTGGCTTACTTCCACCCCCAAAGGCTCTTCCTTGCACATGGCTCTCAGGCTGTGGTGGACACTACCTCCCAGGCAATAACTCCCAAGTCGAGAGGAGATGGGAGGAGGGGGTTGCAAATGATGCAGTTGTGAAGTGACTCATCCTCTCACTGACTCCGTTCACTTCTGTGTTTGCAGTCACTTGAACAGCTGTGTGGGCCGTGTGAAGTCAGAGATATTTTTTGTTCCCAAAACAGGAAGATGGCGTGGGGGGAGTTGAGGGGGGACAGATAAGACAGTGGATGTGTGTGTAGATGTGAAGTCATAGTTGCTGCATGATTTCAGCTCCTCTGACCAGACAACCATCACTACATTAGTCACTAGTCCAACGATAAGACAGGCCTGGGTAGATTCACAGTGAAGTGAGGAGAACTGGTACTTCTGGCTCAGATCTTGGAAACGTGTCGCACAGTACAGAAAGGTGAGAAGTAATGAACGTGGTCCTTAGCTGGAAACTGAGGAAAATCAGACTATTAAAAAAAAATAAGTAAGACTGGGCTAAAGATATAATTCAGTTGGAAGAGTTCTCGCCTAACATACGTGAAACCCTGGGTTCTACCCTCAGTACTGCATAAGCAGGGCATGGTGGTACACACATGCAATCCTAGTTCTCAAGAGGAGGAAGTAGGAGAATCAGAAGTTCAAGGTCATCCTTGGCTACATAGTGTGAGGCCACCCTGAGATAAACAAGGCCCTGTCTCAAAGGAAAAATAGAATCATATACCTTGCCTTCCAAATATTCACAAATCAAAGAAATAGACACCCCTAAGTAGCCAGAGTATGTAACACTGAGGTGACAGAGGGTGGAGTCTCTTCGAGTCACTAGAGACAAAACTGTAAATGGAACCAAAACCAACATGTCCTCTCTAATGTCAGATGGTTCCTCTCCCCTGCCTCCCACAAAAACATCTTCACCCACAACACTCACTTCAAGCCTTCCGCCCAAGCTTCCACCCTCCACACAGGGGCTCAGCAGAGTGGTACTTGGGCTACATTCAGCCCACTGTGTCTTTAATAAACTTCTTTTGAAGAGAAGCATGTGTTTAAAGTTTGTCTGTGGCTATCTGTGCTGTAACAAATTAAATAGATGAGACAGAGGTCCTAGGACACACAGAGCTTAGACTATTGGCTATCAGGACTTTTGAAAAATGAAAATGACTCCTATTCCAAAGCATAATGGGACAGGGGAATGCAATGCCTCTAACTTAAATAAAGAAAATTTCTCTTATCACTTTGACCCAACGTATAAAACAGTCTACTTATTGGTAGTCTCATCAAGGTCTGTCCAGACTTGGTGGACGATGATACCTCCTTTCCCACTCAAGACCAGTCTTCTCTGGCCTTTGATGGCCTCCCCCTTCTCTCCTTTCAGGTACCCTCAAAATCAAAGCACCTGTAACTCTTAATCCCCCATCATGTTTATGCTCGCTCTGAGTGGAATGATTTTAGTTCTTATTTGCCTGAGTAAATAAAACTAGATTTTCCCACATTCCTCTCAGATCTTCTCTCTCTTGTGTGTCCTGCCACTTAGTGCAATGGGTTGATCAGAGTAAGAGATGAAGAGCAGGGAAAATCAATTCTTTCAGGAAGTACAGGAGAAACTTCTGGACAACAAGACCTTGGTGAGAGGAAAATAAAACCAAGAACAAACAGAAAAAGCCATGACCATAGAAGGGTTCACTTTAAACTTTCAAAACTAGACAAGGAAATACCAAAGGACTCTAGCCCAAATGGAGGTAAGGAAATCAAGTTAGGGCTAAACTAACATTTTTCCTTGGTGATACTATCTAAACCTTACAATAATAGCATTGCACTAAAAAAAAAAATCAAAGGAAAATAAATACAGAATGATGGGAAGAGTATGCTGTCCAATAAGTACTTGGGAAATTAGAGTAATTCTGAAGTGTTAAGGAACACAAAGAAATGCAAAAATTAGTAGGATATACACAAGAGATTCCATGTTCAAGCGGGCATTAAGATACAGCAACACACCTCTGTTCTCCAGCTGACTTTGTTAAGAAACATTAAATTTAAGAAAGATAAGGAAGTTATGTGTCAACAGCATCTCCTCTGGGTTTGATAGAATGCGTCCAGAATCTTCACCAAGTAAAAATGGATACCCCATAGCAGTTGCAGCAAAGTGCAAGTGAGTGGTCCTCTCACTCCTCCCTGGGAGCACTTGACATTTTGCTGCTGAAGGAAGACAAGTTGTTTTTACCACTAAGCGGGACAGGTAAGAGAGAGGGATAGATGTCATCAAAATACATTCAAAGAACAAATTATATATATATATATATATATATATATATATATATATATATATACCAACAACAATGTTTTACCTTTATCAAACAACGTTTTACATATTTTAGAAGTGGTCCTCTCCGCTCTGGCATCTACTCAGTCTGGTCCAAGGACAGAGAAGACTAGATGAGTTGGACCCAGAAAATCATACTTTGTCCATGTTATAGAAATGCCTAGCCCACCACTGCCCTCACATGTCTTCCTTCTAGTGTTTGTGGACATGCATATCCTCATTTCCTGCAAGTATATTTTGCTGTAATGTTTAGGTTATGCTCAGGTGGGACAGAGCACAGTAACAGACTGAACTTTCAGAAGCCAAGTACAACAAGCTGATGTCTCAAGCATGCAAAAGCTGATGAAAGTCAGGAGGAGTTTTCTCCACTGGCAAAAAAAAAAAAAAAAAAAAATGGGTCCAGCCTCCTCCATATGACATTGCCAACTCAGGAAAGTATTTCCTGGGTCAGGGCAGCCTGAGATGAGAAAGCAAGAAGGGAGCACACTGCTCAGAAATGCCCCAGCCTGTGTTTTACATTTGTGGTATTTGTGCTCACATTCCACAGCCAGAGTTAATTACATGACCCACCTCTTGAAAGGGAGCGAGAGGAACTGCGGTGTATTCAGAGAAGAAGAATGCAGTATGGGTAACTGCAGTACATGGACATTTCCATCATTCCAGCCACACTTACTGCTGCCCCGATACCTAAAGGAGAAGCAAATAGATAGTGAATGAAGATTGGTTGAGCTGAGTCGGCTCTGGCTGATGAACGCAGTCCCAGAAGATGAGACTGGAAGTGGGAAAAAGGTTGCATTCAAACTCTGACTCCAAGAAGGATTTGGAAATGAGAGAACTAGGAGAGAACATTGCTAAAGGATCCTCATGAAGAAAAGAAGAATAGTCAATAACACCACATACCTCACTTGGAAAGGATAAATAAGAAGACTGGACACAGGTCATTAGACTTGACAGTTGGATCATTCATTAATGGCTCTTCTCTGGTGCCAGACAAATCTTGTTATGGTGAGTTTTAAGAGGGTACCTAAATCATTCAGTGAGTTACCTTCATAGTATGAATGTTTCTCAAAACAGGTAGCTGCTGGAGATATGTGGATGTTTTGTTACTCTGCGTTTTTTTTTTTTAACCCTAATAAAACTTTTTGCCTTGAAGTAATAAGAATAGCTATTGTTCAGTGTACACATACTACATGCCCAACACTTTGCTAAGTGCCTCCTTCACATTTTTGGTGCCACTGACAACCAAATTTACAAAGGGAATGTTATACTCCATCCCCCCCTTTTAGTACAATCTACAGGGAGAAATGTGGCCAAGTTCTGCATGGTTCCGAAGTTCGAGGTCTTTCAACTGTACGTATGTATGTATGTATTTTCAAATTGAAAATGCTCTCTCATGTTCACAAAACTATCCTTTTATCTTTAGCCTCAAAATCTTTATATGCCCAAAGAACTGAACATCCTATCCCATGGATACTTGCTCGGCCATGTTCATTGCTACTCTATTAACAATAGCTAGGAAATGGAAACAACCTAAATGTCCTTCAACTGAGGAATAGACAATGGAAATTTAGCACATACATACATACATACATACATACATACATACACACACACACACACACACATACACACACACACATATATATACATATATACACACACACACACATATACTGTGGAATACTATTCAGCTGTAAAGAAAAATATAATCATGAAATTTGTAGGTAAATGGGTGAAACTAGAAAAGATCATATTAAGTGAGGTAGCCCAGCTCAGAAGACAAATATTGTGTGTTCTCTCTCACCCAATGCTTCTAGCTCTAGTCTTCAGATATGAGCACATGGCCTGGAGAAACTGCAGAAACCAGGACAGTAAAGGTAACTATGAGGTGGAGAACAAAGGAGGGAACAGCAGGGTACAGACAATCTGAAAGGAGAAATGGAAAAGATGGCGGGTCTTTAATGAGAGGAGGGGTGAGCCATAAATACAGAAGGAGAAGTGTGCGGAGGGTAAAATCACAGTAAGGGTGACTGAGAAGTCATAATGAATCATATTACATTTTAGCTACCTAAAATTACATATAATACACATAAGTCTGTGTGTGTGTGTGTGTGTGTGTGTGTGTGTGTGTGTGTATATATATATATATATATATAGTTTAAATGAAATTTCCTCATCTGGGCTAAGAATGTTTCCCTCAAGAATCCTAAACTATCTAACAAAAACCCCAACACCAGGCATGAAAAGCCCCCTTTTGAGCCATTAGTCAAGGTTGCCCAAGAGATTCCAAAAACAGTATAGACTATTATTGTTTCCTCTCAGAGGTAGAAGTTAAGTCCCTCTTAACACCACATACTTCAAACATAGGATCCAAAGAACTCGAGCTACTTCTAGCCTGGAAGTTTCCTCCCTAAAGATGAACTTTCAGGGTACCAGAAGGTCCCATGCAAACGTCCAAGGGAAGGAAGCAAACAGCAATTTTACCTACGACGACACCTATGAATCGCAATAACAATCAGCATGACAGCATGACTCTGAGTAAGATTCTAGTACTTTGAAGTAGGAAACAAGCTTTGTAGCTTTCTTATTTTACATTCTACCCCTTCATGATGATTTGAAAGAAAATGGCTCCCATAGAGAATGCCAATATTAGAAGGTATTGCTTTGTTGGAGTGGGTGTGGTCTTGTTGGAGGAAGTGTGTCACTGGGGGTGGTCTTTGAGGTCTCCTTTGCCCAAGCTGTGCTCAGTGTGACACACAGTTGGTTCTGCTGCCTGCAGATCAAGATGTAGAACTCTCAGCTCCTTCTCCAGAACCATGTCTGCCTGTACACAACCATATCCTGCCATGATGGTAATGGACTAAACCTCTGAAACTGTAAGCCAGCCCCAATTAAATGTTTTCCTTTGTAAGAGTTGTCATGGTTATGGTGTCTCTTCATAGCAATAGAAACCCTAACTAAGACACCCCTACATAAATGATAACTATTTTCTAAATGTAGATACTCACGTAACTGGGCTTGGTGTGGCTTAGTAATGGCATGCTTGCTTAGCATTGAATCCCCAGCACCATAAAAACAAAATAAACACATTTTAAAACTCAAGTAACTATTTGCACTTCTTGCATATACGTAAGAAAAGTCTTGCACATATGGGGCATAAAGCAAGTGTTTGGGGAACATACATTCAATAAATAAAAAGCATAACTCCTAACCACATTCTAAATAGTTATCCTTATACCCACAGGTAAGTGTGGCTCCCACCCCTTATCCAAGAAACTTATCTTTGAAAAGAGGAGACCATTGCAGAAAACCACAACCATCAAACTTCAGAGAACAAGACATTGTGTGATTCCCAGTCCCAGCTAACACATCTATAAAACAATTCCTGCACCTTAGGCTCAGGGATCAGTTGCAGAAGGAAGGGGTGTAAAACTCGTAAGAACCAGGGAAACAGAAAAATTGCTGTGTGGTTGTATCTCCTAGAAATGTCAACAAGGCTATACTCACGAAGTCTCATCAACATGGCTGCCTAAACATGGCCTGAACAATGATGGCACCAATGAACATGCTTACGTGGAAAGAAAAAAGAAACTCATAGGGCCTCAGCTCTAGACAAAGAACTGTGAGCAACCAAAGAACATCCAATACCAACTAACCAGCCCTGAGATCATATATATACAGGTAACATTATATAGGCTGGGCAGGTTGTATTTATGTATTTAGGAATATGTGTGTGTATATGTATGTATAAATATAAGGTATATGTATATATACATAATAACAGTTAAAGAAAAAGAGAGAACAAGGACCTATGTGGATGGAAGGAGGAAAGGGAAGGAGAGAAACTATGTAATTATATTATAATATAAAAAATAAATCATAAAAATCTTTGATACTTTAAAAACAGCTATTCTAGACAATTATTCTGAAATTTTCCTCACTAAAAATATAAATTAGGGCTTATGTGATGGCTCAGTGAGTAAAGGCACTTGCAGTCAAGCTTGAGGGATCTGAGTTTGATCCCCCAGGACCCAATGATAAAAAGACAAACCCAATTCTCTTGCCCTTGTGGCATCATAGTATAAAAGAAAAATGAACTAAATGACTGAATTTTCATTTTTAAAATGTGAAGAAATATGTCCACAGATACAATATGATGTAAAAATCCATTATAAACTTCTGTATGCTATATGGCATCCAATTAATAGACTCGGTCCAGGAGCTTCACAATAAATTGTTGAGTCTCACCGTGGGCTTCCTTTTGACAGCAACGCTTTCTTACACATATTTCTACCCTGTTGTATAGAAGCCTGATCTTCCGGGCTAATTCACACACATTTAAAATTTTATATTACTAATCATTAAACCCAGTTCCAACCCACTAATCCCAATGAATAGACATGACTTTCACGTCACAAAGATAATAGAAGCCACCTCCTTACACTTAATCAGCTTTCCTTCCACCTTTTGTCCAGTGTCTCAAACTCCAACAAAGGCTCAGGCCCTGCAAACACCTTCTGGAGCCCTGCCTTCCTTTCAAATGTGCGTCTCAGCTGCGCCCTTTCTTCGCTTCAGGCTTCAGTCTACATGTAGAGACATTCAGTGATTGCCAGTCTCATCAAGGTCTCCCCAGCCACTGAGTGGCTAGTGGAATTTCTTAATCTTGATGTCTCCTCTTGCACAGTCAAAACTGTTTTCTAGAATCTTCCAGATATCAAAAACTGTACAAAATTATGCTCTCTGCAAAATCATTGTCACCTTACTATTTTTTATATAAGGATTTTTACACCATCTTTAGGGATTGGTTTGCATCTTTTTAAAGAAACCTGATTTCTATCCTCCTTCGTTCTATACTGAGTGACTAGATATTTTTACCTGCCAACCCAATATATTCTTTTTTTAGCCTAATCATTTAGGGTGTGTTTGGATGGCTACTTTTCAGGACTGATTTTTCTTGATGTATTCTAAACCCTTTAAATATATGGATTCATGGTGTATCCTTTTAGAAACTTGAATCCTATGTTTTAAGTATTTGTTCTATCTTTTTGGTTTGATTTTCTTCTCATTGACATGTCTTTAATCTCTCTTGCTTCTGGGGCTTTTTTTCCTATAATTTGTCTCTAATGCTCATCTCTCAATTTCTTCTGCATTTAATTCACTTGTTTCTCTTCTGTCTGCCGCCTTTGTCCTTTACTTTCGATGATGCTTCTTTTCCTAATGTTCTGTCTAATTTGGTCTTTGCCTCTGTAGTTATTGTTCCTTTCATTTATGATCTCAGCCAAATCTTCCTGTCCCTCGCCCTTTAATTTGTCCCCCACCCTGTGCTGTCTAGCACTGAGACTCTGATTTCTGATTTTCGTACTTGAATCATCGTTCCATGAAATAGTTTTTTGTTTTGTTTTGATACAATGTTAACTTACAATTCTTATCTGATTCCTGGTAATAACTTCCTGGTACATTTCACTCCTCTATAGAAAAATGTTCCTATTCTTTTCCAAGATTTACTAAATCTCTGTACAGATGCTGTGACAACTTTTCTTGTTTATATTTGAATGAGTTTATTGTTCCTGAGTCAGCCGTTTCCAAAGATTACTCGGAAGCATGATGGAGGAGCAGACGAACTTCTTGCCTTCCAAACTGTGCAACTCACGGACTTCCTCCTCTGTGCAACAGACTGGGTCCATTGA